TGCCCCTTTCCTCGAGATCAGCATTCGATTGACTGAACGTCTTCGTCTTCGAAAGGCGGCTCGTCCACCGTCTCTTCCGCCGTCTGTTCATCGGCATCTTCCTCCGTCTCTGCATCGACCTCAAAGAGTTCTTGCTCTAGTCGGAGCTCTTCCACCATTTCAGCAACGATTCTTGGCCGCGTTCCTTCCATTCGTCTCTGTTTTGCATTGCGTAGTTCAAACATTCATCACTGGAAACCCCAAACACCCTGCAATCCTTGAGTTTCTTCGCAAGGGGGATGATGTAAAATGTCAAAGAAAGCCAATCTCGCCCTTGTATGTACCAAAATTCACTGGAGTTTTTGCAGACGTTGACCGGATGACATTCGTTGAGAGTCCGCATTGCAGGATCGATCACTCGGATTCCGTGTACGTACCTTGGATCTTTGCCCATGCGCCCTTGCCTGTACGCCAAGGACAACTCTTGAAAGAGGCGGCGGTTCCACTTGCGATAAATGTGCCAGTGTTGCATCTGAACGTGGCAAGCAGTAAGAAGAAGAAGAGTGAGATTCACAAGGTTTGTGGCAGGGTGTGGCCAGTGGGCTTTGCTGTCCTTACAGACTTACTGTGTGCGACACATCGGAAGCTTGCATGATATGCTCGATCTGCGATTTGAAAGGGTGAAGTGGTCAGCAGGAAGAGTTGGGCGATGAGAACACAGCCAGCTCCAGGAAAAACGTACCACAATGGTTGCACGGAGGTCATTGTTCTCTTCCTGCGACAGGGACTCATTAGAGAAGGCTTTGTCCCATCTGTTCTTACGGAGTCCATTCAATTCCTTATCGAAGATATCTGTTGCGAGCACAACGTTCACAAGGACCTGAAGGCAATGAAAGAAGCCAATGTACAATCAGAGACAAGTCTAGCGCAGCGAGATGATAATGTATAGTTGCACATACCTGTCTGAAGCGTTTCATTTCAGACTCACTAAGTACAGTAAAAAGACCAAAACATCGACGAAGAGTGTTCGTGTTGCTCCAGTTGTGTTTTTGACATCCGCATATTGTTTCCAAAATAGTGCTGATAGTGGTATGAAATGGGATCAATGGGTGGATGTCAGGCGGAGGTCACAAGTCATGTCCACTGATTGGTAGCCAAGTTACTGGATTTCCGCGATACTCTTGCCTCGATACTTGTCAGCCATTTGCTTCTCTTCTTCGGCCAAGCGAGTGTTTGACACACCACGGTGATCTCTGATTTCGAAAGGGGGTGGCGGCCTTTTAGATTGAGGGTTTCGATGACAATCTTACACGAGTACAAGGCATGCGGTTGCACTACTTACGCATCATGGATCAACGCAGAGAAGACAATGGCAAGCAGCGTCAGTGGATCGGAGTTTACGCCATGCGTGTAATCTATTTCAGAGCAGGAAAGCACGGGAGTTGAGCAAAAAGAAGAGAAAAACCAAGTGTACTAGTGTGAGAGCACGCCCAGCAGAATTACCATTGCATTTGAGACGTGCCCCAGTATCTTTCTTATCTCGGCCCCAACGTGCAGCCACCCCAATTAATACGTTTCATGAACTTGTCCGTGGCCTGTCGCGATGGCCGAAAGTCAGAAAGACGATCAAGGAGACAATGGCGGATTCATTTAAGTCAACATGAGCACGTACCATCGTAACGTGTGCGGCGTGTTCTGAGAAAGTTCGAGAGAAACAAGGGAGCAGGTAGAGATGGTCAGTGCTGAGGATAGACGCACGAACAAGAGCATACAGTAAATGGTGGAATTACCGAAATTGTGAAATGGGTTGGGCAAGTAAAGTTCAGAGAGAGCGGTGACGTAGCGATGGAGCTGAGAGACCACGTCCAGGCCAAGAGCAACTTGACGCCAGTTCTTGTCCATTTGCCCAGAGAACTTAGGCAACTTGATGACCTCGGCAACCTCGTCCAGGCTCGTTTTGCCTTTCGGGAGGTTGTAACGGAGGGGTGCACTTGTTCCTGTTGGCCCTCTCGATGCAACGAGTTTCTTAAGGTGCTCTTTCAGGATCTCAACAATCCAGTTCACCAGCCGACCTTGTTTCAACGTATCGTTTTTGAGTCCCAAGCGCTTCGAGCTTGTCAAAAACGATGCATCGAAAGGATGAGACCCATTAGAGCCGCTTTCCCGCACAGGATTGTCCATAGGTCCAATGCTGCCATTCCTCGTGATACCGGTTGGGCGGACCCAGTACGCCATCAGCACTCCTTTATCATCTCTCTCTTTGCTGGTAGAAGATTTACATTTTAAAATACATGTTCTAGGATTAATTACATATTTTTGCTTGCCTGTGAAGCTTGTACCGGTAGGGAGCTCGAGGTGTTGAGATGCTTCTTGGTTTCTTTTGGCCCCGGCTCGTGATGGTTTGAGACAACAAAACCCTGTACATAAATAAATGGCTCTGCTGGCTTGTGATCTAGCCCGAGCGGGGACGCCAAAATATTATTGGCTTATTTATTGTTAGCCAGAATAGGTGCAGGGGCTTGAAGGGCGTGGGACTTGGTACAAGGGCTACTGCGAGCCAAACTCAGAATTTGGCTCTGGGGTCCCTTTTTGGCCTTCCCAAAAAGTTGAAAATCCAGTCATCGCGTACGTAGAAACAGTACTAGCAGGATGACTCGAATTCAAATCGGGATGGCCTGGCCAACTTCTCGAGTTGGCATTCCACTGGCCCGCCGGCAGATTCGTGACTCGTCCCACATACGTCAGTGGAGGTTCGCTCAATGGTCACCTTTAGACACCGAGTCATGCATCCAATGCGTTCCATAGGAGTGATTGGCTGGGCTCGTGCGGCTTAAGTAAGGCTATCGAGTCGGTATGTCTAGCATACAGGGAAGGCCTACTGGGAATTCACATGGCCACGAAGACAAAAATGAGGCAAATTGTACTGTTGGCTTTATAGTTAATCTGCTAGCTATCCCCTCTAATCGATCCTCTCCAACGTCCTCACAAAGTTGATCAGTAACTGTTTGCTGTCGACATGGAACCCAACATGCCAGCACGAACCGACTACACTACAGGGACCACGGTCTGGATTCGGCGTGGTCCCTACCGCCATCAGATAGCGACTTACTTGGAGCCTGAGAACGCCAAGTGGTGCAAGATCGAACTCTTGACTGGAGCCAGAATCAAGCTCACCTACTGTGCTATTGAGGCAATCCACGAAGGGCCACCAACTCAGGCACAAGCGAATCCACCTGGCTACACCATGGCTGACATTGCGAGGTTGGGAGGATGGCGCTTCCAGGATGAGTCTCGCCATGCTCTACACTACAGCCTTCCTGATCCCATTTTCATGGGGCACACAGTTCGTGGACTGGTGAGTTCTCTTGCCACAGCAAGTCGCGAACTTGAGGAAACCAACAGGGAGTGCCGCTGGCTGCGCTCCATGGTGGAGAGCAACCAAAATCGAATTCAGGAGCTGGAAAATTTGCTCCATGACAATGAAGACATTCCTACTGGGTTCTAGAATAGTTTTAATGTACTACTTAGTTTTTCTTTTTACCACGTTGCTTTCCTTTTGGTAGCTTGTTGCTCTGTTGTAGCGCTTTCACAAGGTTGCCAATGCTGAACCTCGCGTCGGCAAACAGGGGTTCCCACTCCTCAATCACTGCACTTGGTTGTTGGTTTGCTTCTTCGGCTGTAGCCTGTATGCCCTTAATCAGCCGGTTTCTGTAGGAGTACTCAGTCGCTGGTAAGTGCTTTCGCCACTGGGCTCCGTGCTTCTGATTTCGGCCTTCAATACCAGCAAAGCCATCATCGAATTCGGCAAGGCCAAACCACTCATTCCAGAAGCTGCCCAAAGTGGTGTGCCTCATTTTCAGATAGTACGTCTTGTGTACCACCAGTAGCTCGTCATTGGTCATGTTTCGAAAGGCTTCTGGGAGCTCTGGATGAGCGACTTCGCCGTTAACTCGGGAAACACCGGTGGAATTTGAATTGCCCCGGGGTTCACCTGAAACTGGTATGCGTTGCCGTGTATTCTGTGTTGTTGTGTGCACCGGGGTACTCTCTGCGCTGTCATTATTGTTGTGGGGAGGGGTATTTTGTAGCAATCGCTCGCCAGCTTCCACTAAAAGTGTGCCCACCAGCTTATCAGTTTCCATGCGATGCTCTTGTTGATTGTCGTATAGTTGCTGAAAACCATCCACCACGACCTGTTGCAGCTGGTCAATTCGAGTGTCGAATTTTCGCTCTAAGTCACTCGTTGCTTTGTAGTTGGCGACAAAACGTTGGTGTACACCTGGCATGACCTTTTCCAGACTGGCATCTAAGGGGTCTTCCGCGGTCTCCAGCTTGAGTCTCATCTCCTCTTTGAATTCAAGGAAAATAGGCAGCTTGAAAATTGGCATCTCCTGGAAAATTGGATGCAGTTGTCGCTCTTCTGCTTCCCCTAAGATCAGCATTGCAGCGGCGTCTTGTAGAAACACCACACAAAGCTCCTGGAAAAAACTCAATGTTGCTTCAGCTGTAGGATGGTTGCCATCTTGCGCCTGCACTTGGGGTAGCATGTCAAAGGCAAATGCTAGAGGGCACAGATTCAGTAGTTGTTGACTCGGCATTACAGTCGTCCGTGGGTTGAAGTACATTCCGCTCGCGGTATTGAAACCAGCTAGATTACGGATCGCCTTCATTGGAAGCTTCGAGCTGTAGCAATTGTCATAGATGCTCATGTTCCACTGTCCCATACGCCTTATGTCTTCCGAATCCACCTCTGCCAAATCGAGCTTCTTTGCTCCCACCTTCCGGCCCAAGTGCAATCTCTTGTTATCTGGCAGGTTCAGCCTTTTCAGAACTCGCTGCATGTGACGCCCATAGCTATCGTTGCTCATTTCGTGCGTATTGTCCAGGCTATTCACATCAATTAGAAACTTGACGTCGAACCAGAAACTGTTGTTGCACCACTGATCTTCTGTCATATCCACGAACTCCTCCGTAAGGAAAACTCGAAACATGAGATAGAAGGCAATGGCACCAATGCAGCATTGCTTAACGTCACGATGCCTTGTGGCCCTGCCATATTGCTTCTTTCCATGCGTTGTCTTCCCTTGGGCGATTTGGTTGATAAGTAAAAACAGAGAGTGCACATCCCCATCCTTTCGTGGTGGCTTCAGACCAAAAAAGTCTGCCACATCGGCACGGTACAGCGACTCTGAACGTAGAATGCCGGTAGTCAGGTACAGGCAGCAGGCCCGGTGGCGTAGATTGTTGCAGACATTCCGGTTGCCCACTGCTTTTTGGCTATCACACCACAGCTCCTTTTCAATGTCAGGGAAGCGCTCGACACAACTGTATGGAGCAAACTCTCCATCATACTTCTCGGCATAGTTGGCTTTGTCCATTGCTGGCTTCCTCTCTTTCACATGTTTCTCCAGTTCTTGGAGATCTGTTGTCCAAACAAACTCCCAACCAAGGGTGTTCATTTTGTTGGCTACTTGGTCTCTCCATTGTGCTTTCAAAACTGCTTTGTATTGCTGGAAAACTGAAATGCTGATTGGTTTTGGGGGGAGCTCAATGGTGTCGTTGGTGCCATTCTCGAAGTGTTGCATGAGTGCATCATATTCCACTGTATTGAAGGAGGGAGACTTTGGAGATCCTCTCTTGCCTCCTTTGATTTTCTGCTTCCTGTGGGCTTGATAGAACATAAACCTATAAACCTTTTCTGCATGTACATGATAAACATAGGACTCTTTGTTAGTGTATGCATGCTCGCAGAATCTCTTGAACTCCTCTTCCTTTGGATCATAGGCCTTCCCTGTGTTGGTTGGGATGTTCTTCTTCCTCTCATTATTGACAAAGGAGGAAATCCTGCCATTCAAAGCAATATCATTGGGGCTTCTAAGCTGCTGCCTGGCTGGAGAGGCAACAGGAGTGCCAGAGGGTGTTGTTGTAGCTGATGATGCTGTTGCAGAGGCGGCGGCAGCCCTTCGCCTTGACTGCCGAATAGCAAACAGCTTTCCTGTTTGCATGGTGTTGTTTGTTTTGATGGGCTACTACCGATGAGGCAAGCCAAGGTGCCGTGGCTCACATTTTGGCTCAGATCTGCGCGTGGTTTTTTGGCTCGAAACCCATCGGGGTGGTGCTATTAGTACCTGTTTGTTAAATCTATCGAGGGTACCCTAAGTCTACGAGTGACGTGGCTAGGCGAAATATATGGATTTATTTTATTGGACCTGCGCGAAATAAACGCGCATATCTTGGCCAAACTCTGGCCAGAGGCCAAAAAGAGAACCCGATCGTTTGGCTTGGACCAAAATATTAAGTCAGCGGGAGCTGCGATACCTCGGCAGAAAGACAGATAGAAGAAGGAGGATCATGTTCGAGATTGCACCCATCTTTCAAGCCAGCCCTGGCGACAACACCCGACTACGTCGTGTGTTGCCGCCCGGTATCATTCATTCCCTCATTGCAACCTTCTTTATTAAGCTAGCCCTGGCGACAACACCCGACTACGTCGTGTGTTGCCGCCCGCAACTCTATAATTTACCAGCTGTCATTCCCTTATTGTAACTCTAACATTTACAACTCCTGCTGGCTTATTGTGCTGTTGTGCTGATTGCACTAACCTTTAATATTAATGATTTATTCCTACCCCTAACTTGTATTGAACCATCAATGTTCAGTTTTGTTGGCTTATGACTATCTCTATCCTTATACTTTGGCTTCACCGGAATAGGAAATAGGAAATAGGAAATAGCATTAAAGGGGTTGAGAACTCAGGCAGTTTACCTGCCGAGGTAAAACTGGGACAAAGGTGGTCTTTGGCCGAGCATCCTGGCATTGCTGGTCTGGCAGTTTGCAAGAATTGAATGCAAACTGTGACGAGTCGAGTCAAGCTTTATGCAGGAAAGGTACTAGTACCCGTACATGGACGGCCAGTTGGCCAAGGACACGCACGGACCCCCAAATTGGCTTGGTATCGGACTGGATCCCTGTTCTCAATTCAGCACTCCGTGGATATGCGTATTGAACGGGAGCTTCGGTCCAATGCCTGAGGTGCACATCCCTTCTCACTGCTGGTACCGTACCGATGCTTCAGTACGGAATCAAAGCTTGTACAACGTTTATGAGAAAGTGGAAGCTCCAAATGGGCAAAAACGTTTCGTCAGTCCATGCACATAGGTATTAGCTGTAGACTGACGAAACGTTTTCGCTGGATTGATGACTTCCTCATCTCACAGAGTTTGCACAGACGATTGGATTGACTGAAATCGCTGATTTTCATGGGATTTCAAAAATGTGAGCGCAAAATGTGAGGCTTAGTTTTAAACTAGATGGCCGGCTCTCCAGTCACAGAACCTCTTACTCAATTTGGATTTAGCCGTTGCACCCAAAATCAATCGCACAACAAGTTTCGTGATCATGGGCATCCCTTTTCGATCATGTTTATCAGTGTCAGAGCCCATGTTGATGACTTCCTCTCGTTCCGCGAAGCCTCTCACAACACGTACGATTGATATTTGACAATGATGTAATGCCTCTTTGACAGATGGGATCGATATTTGCGACCATGGGCATCCGATTCAGCGACCATGGGCATTGATGCAAGATTCAGTGAGAGAGAGCGAACAGACGGCGTCGCAACGGCAGAAGATCGTGGTTCAGTCGCTTGGAGGCGTCTTCAGTTCAGTTCAGTCGGATGCCATCTCATTATTTTGACTATCGACACTTGAGGAAAGCTCTGCAGGAATCTTCAATCGAACCAACCAATGAACGAAATGGCATTATCTTCCTCTTGGATTGACCGACCATGGGGATCGGCCGTTCGGCCTTCATTGGGATTCTTCTTGGGCTTGGTACCACTGTC